CTCTCTCTGTGTCTCACACACACGCATACACACACAAAGGGGATCCGAAAGGGGGTCCGAAATCCCACGACAGGTGAGTGCGCTGGGGGGGCCTGCCGGGCCAAGTCGCCCGAGACCTCCCCCGGGCCCCTGCCGGTCACCCGGGCGGCCCAGATCCCCACTCAGATTTTCTCACTTTTCGAAATTGTCTGTTAAACATACATGCTCCCTTGCATAAGTTGATATCAACTTGTTTGACATTTCTACTCTCTCGTTTAATGTTTCTCTGTTTGTTTGTTTGTTTGTTTGAGCTTTTAAAGTTTCAAAACATTGGACTGCAACTTTTGCTGTCCTTCTCTTTTAAACACTTCCAACTTGTTTGGCAAAATACTTAGGACAAGGCTTTCGGGTCAAATTCTGCAAAAAAATGGTGTCATTTTTCATTCTGAATTCAATTGCGTGATGTTGAAAAAGCAAACTCGCACAACAATACTACCACGGATTTCACTTCAGTTAATTCCAGCTTATTCAAGTGTCCTATCAATGGAAGTGAGATATTTTTTGGGCCCCAGTATGTGGGGTCGGGAACGTACGACTGTTGCGAGATCCGCAAGTCACGTTCACACGCCCGGCTGATATTCGACAGGACACAACCTGCTGCAGCCATTCAGCAACTGGCACCCATTCAGAACTAGGCTCATCTTGGGCCCTCTTCGGACCCAGTCCCAAATCCATCCCCCAGCTATGACACAAACCAAAATCCATTACCCGCTAAACGTCAAACCCTCTAAGTTAAGAGTTAAACTGTGCTTAACTGAAAAGCCGACTCCAGTCCCACGCCAACACAACTCAACTGCGTCCATGCCAAGCTCTGGCGCATCTCAATGTAGCTTTAGCACAGCATAAGAACTGAACCGGCGCCGCCTTTCGGGGATCCGGCATCCAAGCGGAAGTCTCAAAGTCGACCGATCCAACCCCTCTGCATCATACGAAAGCTGCCTCAACACGACGACTCAACCCATGTTTCAAGCTCACGCTAAAACCAGACTTTGACTGAAGCGGTGAAACCCTGTTCTATCCTGACTCAACCTTGGCTTTAAACTAAAATCAGTACACCAATTGTGAAACCCCTCAGCATCATATCGAAGCTGTTCGGTCCTGACCAGTGGTCACCACTGTCACAAGCTACGCTTGAACCCGGTTTTGTCCCAACCCTGTTATTCCTGGTCTTCACAGAAATGGGTTGCAATCTTACATAAAGCTGGCCGATTTTACTACACCCTTTCTAGCCTGGCTCGAACATAGTTTTGTCTTAAACCTGTTCTGAGCTCGCTTCGCTTCACCTGCCCACCACCATCTACATCCATTCCCCAACCCACAGTTGGCATCACTCAACCCAGCTCGACGTCACTCATCTCACCACGCCACAAATTTCGCACATCAAAAGATTCAAAACTGACATCCACACACGTGTGTGTGTGTGTGTGTGTGTGTGTGTGTGTGTGTGTGTGTGTGTGTGTGTGTGTGTGTGTGTGTGTGTGTGTGAGAGAGAGAGAGAGAGAGAGAGA